CTCCATGTAAACATGGTTGTGAGTTTTGATTATGAACTGTATGTGGGTCAAAGGATTATGGATCTTAGCTCTGTTCTTTAGATCAGTAGTTTCCAATCCTGCTCCTTAATGTTTTCACTGCTCTAACGCATCCATTTTAACCTCTTGAAGTGCTTGACGATTACTAGAGTCAGGTGTGCTAGTAGCAGAAAAAAAAAACATTTAAGGACACTCAAAAAGAAACAGAGGTGGTTGTTTGACTTACAAGCTGAAAGTTTGTTGGCATTAATTGCAAATGCATTTTAACAAAGTCAGTATATGCTGACTCAACTCTATTTGATTGAATGAAAATATATAGTACAATTAAATTAATTATGGGCCCCAGTGCAAATAAATCGATGCCACCCCTAGGAAAATTAGCTTGAATTAATAACAAGGACACACAAAAGCAAAGCACCACTCACATGAAGCACCAAAAGCTACTGGAGTGCTAATGGCACCCCCTTGTGGAGAATCTTCAGCTGCAAAATGTGAGTGAGTGTGTTACATGCAGGTGTGTAGCCAAGGCCAATTATAACAATAGTAATAATAACAAGTTACATTTATATAGCGCTCTTCACAATCCCAAGGTCGCTTTACACAACAAGGAACACACACACACAAAGCTAAGACTAAGCAGTAAAGGAGGAAGAGAAAAGCTCATGAAAAAGGAAAGTCTTTTAGTCAGATTTGAAAGTAGAAAATGAAGAGCAGTCATGGAGAGATTGAGGAAGAGAATTCCAGAGTTTGGGGGTCATGGCACTAAAGGACCTCACTCCCAAGGTGGAAAGTGGGACAGCAAGTAAGTTATTACAAGAAGACCTGAGAGACTGAGAGTGAGTGTAAGAGGTCAGGCATTCTCTGAGAGGGGAACAAGTTTATGCAGGGCTTTGAAAAGTGAGAAGTAAATTTTTAAACTTTATATGGGACAGGACTGGTAGCCAGTAGTGGTTGGTACCATCATTGCTTGTCACCCTTCTGGCCACCCACTGATGCAAAGTGAGACTTTAAGCCATCTGAATTTTAGTACCAAGGATTAGTATTTCAGTTTTTGCTGATGTAATTTTAAAGTTAATTTTGTGACATCTACTGAGAAATATCTGACTCACAACCATTAAGCCTGTCGGCAGTCTTGATCATCAGAAGGAATAAAAATGTATAATTGCGTGTCATCAACAAAGCCATGAAAACTGATAACATGTTTCTTGATGACATTACCAAGAGGTAACATGTACAAAGAGAAAAGCGAATGACCTAATTTTGAACCTTGTGGGACTCCACAAGAAATGTTTTTGATAAATAATGAATGTTAGAGTCCTTAAGTATCAGCATATCTGTGACTGGCTGTTTTGCTGAGCAAGCAGGTGAGTGAATGCTGGTCAAACCTTTAGTCTCATTTTGCTTTGTTTCTACATTAGGAAAACACATTTAAAAGCACCTAAATGAATTTCTATATTAAAATAATATGCTATTTTTGTTTTGTGATGCAGCATGCTCTACATGGAACAGATCACTGAAGATTCTGCAGTAAAAATGGTACAAAAAAAATGAAACGAACAGTATTTTTCACAGAATCTTTTCAGAAACAGAATATAAAAAAAACTATATTTTAAAATGGGTTAACTGGTTAATAAGGTTATTGTCTTAAACTACATAGAATTTTGAGCTATGACCACATTAATCATTTGCCCTGTACACTCGCTTTTCACAGCGTGCTTTGTCCCTTTAGAGGTGCTGCTCTGTGAGCTACATTATGAAGCAGGTAGGATGTGTTAATTACCCAATAAGAGTCAGCTACAGTCATTTATCATGTTAACTAATTACTTTTTACAGCTACAGGCGTATGTTGTAGGCCGGATTCCAACTGCGGTGAATCCGGTGCTACTTGGAATCGCTAAAGTCAGGTCAGCTCATCACCCAGCCAAAGATTTTTCACTCAGAACATCTCCTTGTACTTTGCTGTCTGTCTAGCTTTAGCATTAGTCATATGAGTAACCTGCAGCCTGACTAACTTCTATGGCTTGAAATGTATACTTAAAGTTAATGCACTGAAAAAAGTGATACATTTCATTCTATTGATTCAAATGTGTACAGAATTTCTTCATGAATGAATATTCATCAACTCACTTTTGTCTTTCAGTTTACTTTCGGTAATAATTGGGTAAATTCAGTGCATTTTTAATGCTATTTTAATAATGTAGCCTTAATATATGAACAGAAGAACAATACTGGCTGCTCTTTTATTTTTTTCCTTTGCCACTTTAATAATATCTCTGGGTCTAATCAGAGTAAAAGTTCTAGTTCTAGCTACGCCCCTGGTTACATGCCAGGTCCATAACTTGCTTCACATTTAAGAAAAAAACATTTGCTCGCTTGCTATGCTACTGTATTTTTAAGTTCAGTTCGAGCCGTAAGTGTCACAACTTGGTCAAAACATGAGGAAAACAACACATCTACAATTCTAATGTTCATATAGCCTTATTAGTGCTGAGCTAACAGCGTTTCACAGGAACATTTTTTGCCCATTCTAGATTAAACACAGACATGTAAAGACATTCCTTGTCTTAAAGCTTGTGACAGATATATTAGCATATATTTTACACTGTAGCAATTTCACATTCAGTAAAGAGGCCTATAGAGCTGTTTTATAGAGCTGTTTATAGAGCTGTTTTATAGAGCTGTTTTCCAGTCTGTGACGTATCTAGAACTTCCATAAGGCCCAGGATGACATTTTTTCTTATAAAATTGATGTCACCTACGGAGGCCCGGCGGGGACGGAGGTTAAAAAAAAATTAATTCGAGCGAACGTTTTGCAGTTCGTACGCACGTTTTCTTTTATGCATGGTCACGATTTCTTAAATCGTTCCCTCGTTTTATTTTAATCGTGCACACGTTTTCTTTACTTCGTGGGTACGTTTTTTTTTAATTCGTGATCATGATTTTCTAATTCGTTCTCTCGTTTTCTTTTCATCGTGGTCATGCTTTATTTTTAACTGAACGCACGTTGTTTATTTTTTTATTCGTGCGCAAAATCAATGTAGTAGATACATGTCGTGTTATTTGTCCTGTGCAGGAGTAACTAACAGCTCCCTGAGACTGTCTGACGGGTTTTGACGTGTTAGATTGATGAGATAATGAACAGAGACGCTCATCAGGGCTGATTTTGATTTGGGGCGTTACGAGGAAACTGCAGCTTCTCTTCACAGCGACTGGCCCACAGATTCATCAGTGCAGCTGCAGTTTGGTGGTGAAATGAAGGAAGACAACAAACCACAACCACAATCTTCACTAAACTGCACTGTCTAATGATCATATTTAACAGAGATAGAGACGCTTAGCGCTGTTTCTGCTCCCCGACAAGCGGCGGTGTTAGAGATCATCACACAATTACAGGAAGAAATGATCAGCGTCAACGTTTCAACAAACTCAAATTAAACACACACAGAAACATTAATGTGGGATGAGGTCAAATGGCGAGAGAGTTTAATAGATCTATAGATTAGATGTAGATATATTAATGTGAGGATGTTGAAACGCTGATCATTTCGTCCTGTAATTGTGTGATGGTCTCTAACACCGCAGCTTGCCGGGGGAGCAGAAACACTGTGGGCCGTTTGCTGTGAAGAGGAGCTGCAGTTTCCTCATAACCCCCCCAAATCAAAATCAGACCTGATGAGCGTCTCTGTTCATTATCTCATCAATCTAACACGTCAAAACCCGTCAGACAGTCTCAGGGAGCTGTTTACGACCTGTATCTACTACGTTGATTTTGCGCACGAATAAAAAAAAAAACAAACAAACAACGTGCGTTCAGTCAAAACTAAAACATGACCACATTTAAAAGAAAACGAGAGAACGAATTAGAAAATCGTGATCACGAATAAAAAAAACGTACCCACGAAGTAAAGAAAACATGCTAACAATTAAAGGAAAACGTGGGAACGATTTAAGAAATCACTTCATAATTATCCTGGTTAATCTGAGGTGTTAGGCCTGCCTCACAGCCTTTAAAGTCCTAACCAATAGGAGAGCTCGCTCAGCTGTACCTACTTAGATACCACAGAGAAAAACAATTTCTGATTGGCTAATTTTCAAGAATGTAACCCTTTTGTGTCCATCCAGAACTTACCAATGAAATAAGAGTAGAACTGTAATGCTTGCAGGGTTTAAATATAAGCATGATACTAACGAATAATAATGAACTAAACATTACAGACTTTATTTTTTTTAGTTCTCAGAAATCATTACACCATCTTTAAAGGCCTAGAAGGGCCTCAGGGTTCCCTCTGCAGTAAAGGCATTAGGGAGCCTGGTCACATGGCTCCCCATGCTAAGGGCCCCAGTGCAGCTGCCCCCCTTGCTCTGACAGTAGTTATGCCACTGGATTTAAATGAACAGGACAGGAAAATGCTGGCCTAGATCTAATTTCTGGAAAAAAAAACTATAATTAGTAATCAGTAGGGATATGAACAGGATAAATGATTAATTAGATTAGCCGAGAAGTAGGATTTTGCTTTTGATGCATATATTCATATTTGTTGATGCATATATCATATATATTTGATATGTAAGTGCTCTGCCTTCACCCCAGATGAAGATAAACTCTTCTCAAGCCTGAGAATTCTCTGACCATAGGCCAACACCTCTATCTGCAGATCAAACTTAAAGAATAGTTATTAAAGGACACAGTGATTATGCAGAAAAACAGAATCACTTAGATCTGCCCCTCAGAGGAATCTTCTCTGGTGGGATACAGTGTTCTGCATTCTAAACGATGAACCGCAGTAAAGCTTCTCTTCATCTGCCTCTGGACTAATTGAGTGAGACACGTTGATATGAATAATCCCTGCTGTCATGTGACCCAAAACAGTCCTTGTACTGGATCCCAAAGCCAGTAGGGCATAAGCACTACAAGGTTAAGGTACTTTTTCCACTTTTGCCTTTGGTGGATTCTTTCAAAGAGAAACCTTTGGGTGGTTTGGAAGTGCATACACGTTCCTGTCTTAGTGGTAAGAAAACTGCAGCTCCAGAATCACTGACATTTGTCAGGTACTTATCATCGACCCGTGGCTGTATGGGGTGTCTTGACGGAAGACAGTGAAGGGCTCTCAAATATGAGCGTGAACATTTTTGGCTGAGAAGCAGAATCTGAGTTTTTCAAACCCACTAGCGTGATGGGTCAGCGGCTCAGTGACGATTCGGACGAGAAGGAGATAGACGTTGCAGAACTGCAGGAGTGGTACAAGAAGTTTGTGGTGGAATGCCCCAGTGGAACCCTCTTCAAGCACGAGTTCAAGAGCTTTTTTGGCGTAACCGACAACCAAGAGGCCGCGGACTACATAGAGAACATGTTCCGAGCCTTTGATAAAAATGGGGTGAGTGATGCAGTTTTATCCTCTGCCAGCATCTGACTGATTGCATTTTAATTACAAAACACCCAGTGGTGATTTTGATATCAATTATGGATTTAATGAATTGACTTTATGGCCCAACAAGATTTTACAGCGTTTGTTTTTTTTCTGTATTATTGACATTCTGCCCTTTTTCTCCATTTTTTTTTCATAGGACAACACTATTGATTTTCTGGAATATGTTGCAGCCTTGAATCTGGTATTGCGGGGCAAGCTGGAGCACAAACTGAAATGGACTTTTAAAATGTACGATAAGGATGGGAGTGGCTGCATCGACAAAACAGAGCTGAAGGAGATTGTGGAGGTAATCACCCTCCTGCTTCCTTATCATTTATTTAATCACACTGACTCAGTCTGGGGATTTCTCCTTAACTGTGTGCATTACAAGACCAAAAATAAGGCAGATGCTGAAGATCTGAATGTGATTTGCAGCAGGATTAATGCCACGACCCTACTTGTGTAACAGATACCTTGACATTGACATTTCCAAGTGGGAGAGTAGCACAGGATGATTATCTGTTTGACCTCTATGATTGCACGGCCTGTTTACTGTAGCTGCTAAGCCACTCGTGAGGAGTGTCACGCACACTGTTACTCCTCTCAACCACCAGGAAAAGGCAACAGATTCAATACATATCATAAAACTTTTATTAGTATCTTGTTATTAACCCCTTAAACTGCAGCCTTATTATTGAGGTATTATGACTAAGTGTGGACCCACATACAGGGTTTAAATGAGTCTGTATTACATAATTCTATTTTTAAATAACATTTAAAGGTAGTTCTCTATTCCTGTTGGATCGCTTAATTTTATAATATCTGGTCTGATTTTTTAGTCAATCTACCGAATGAAGAAGGCATGTCATGGGGAGCTGGATGAAGAGTGTAACCTACTTACCCCAGACCAGGTGGTGGACCGGATATTTGAGCTGGTGGATGAGAACGGAGATGGTTAGCTCATTTTATCTACCATATCTGTAGCATATAGTCAATTTCCTGCTGAAAAAATTCCACAGAGTTACCGTTAAGTGTTTCTTTATAATGTGTTTTGGCTTTTTAATGGGTTGATATCACACTGTAAAGGATCCTAATGATTTAACAGGTGACCAACGGCTGATTCTAAATGCATTTGATGGTTTCCTAATGGATGGCCAAGCCAATTCCCGTCAAAACAATTAATGCAAAAACAAAGCTAAACAATTTGGTTTTAATCCTAATGGCTACTAATGGCTCTTTTTCAGCAGGGTTATCACTGATGATAATTTTAATATTTTCTCCTGTAAGAAAACAGACTCGTTGACTCAAAACACAAATATAACAGCAGTAAATCGGCACTTGCTTCAGCACCTTTTGAGTCAGCGTGAACAATCTCAGTAGATAGTTCTGACTTTCATAGTAAACTAAACAGGCCACAGAATTACTTTCACTTTCTGACCAGCTGTAAAGCTTCAAAGTCTCATGAAGTCCCAGTGCTGTTTAAAGAGCGATTGATGGTGAACTTGTTTCCTGTGTTCACAGGGGAGCTGTCTCTGGATGAGTTCATTGATGGTGCGCGGCGTGACAAGTGGGTCATGAAGATGCTGCAGATGGATGTGAACCCAGGAGAGTGGATCAACGAGCATCGGCGAAGGAGCGCCAACTTCTGAAGCACGTCCAACAAACTCCAAGCTCTTCACCCAACATTTCACTCAGTCTGTCCATGTTTTACAATTGAAAAACACCATTAGTTCTTGGGATGAGGAAGCACAGAGGAAACCTTGGGCCTTTTCCTTGGGTAAAAATCTCCTTAGAGCGAGATACGCTGGGGAAATGACAACGGAAATGGACTTTCACATCCCTTATTCCCTTTTCTCATCTGTACTGCTTCAACTGCATCATCCTCCCAACATTTGTATGTGTTTCCTGCTTAATTCCACTTGTTCTGGTGAGACTTGCTGAGATCCATTCGAATTTTGAAGTCAGTATCGTTTAGATTTCAAGTCAAATTAGTAAGTTGATGAGTTAGACATTGTTACATGGAATCTTTACATGAATATGTATGTATATTGTGGTAAAGTCAAAAATAAAACCTTTTTTCTGTATATATTTACTACCAGTAAGATTATTGATTGTACTGATAATAAGATGTATAAGAATGTGTGTCAACTGATGCGTAACAACTGATAAATAAACTTTCTGGGTACTTTAAGTGAAGTGTTTTTGGTTGTGATAGTAAGATGCTCTAACTTGCCAATCAGTTAATTAATCAACGGAAGATGATTAGTCAAGCAGCCATTAAAGCTGAAGAAGTGGTGGAGAGGAAATACTCACTGAAACCATTTCTAGACCCCTTTTTAGACAGCTTGGTGAAATCTGTGCAAAAGACAGAGACCACCCTTTCATTTATTTAACAACTTTACAGCTGTGTCCTCCCAACAAAAGGTTCCCAAAGGTGTCACTGACATTATGATGTCCTTGAAAGAGACAATAACAATAACACACAACTACCCAAACACGCCTCAGCTGCCTTGTAGATTTTTTTTTTCTCATGTACATCTAAAATGGCTAGAAGAGATATTTCTGAGGAGATTGGATACAAAATAAACCACTTGCACAAGGAATGGAAATGTTATTGGAAAATAAGTGAAAAAACAGAAGTTTCCAAAATTGGAGTTCAAAAAATGATTAAAACATATAAAAAAACTGATACTAACAACTGTGCAATGCCCGGTAGACCACCAAAACTCAAATAAACAGCAATTAAAGCTTTTATTTTGGAGGAGAAAATCAAGCTCCACTCTTTAGATCTGAAAAAAATCCACAGGTGTTTCTGTCCATCCTTCCACTGTGAGAAGACAACTCAACACTATGGGTCTGAAAGGAAGTGTAGCTGCCAAGAAGCCCTTATTGAGAAAAGGAAATAGACAAAAAAATCAGTAAGACACCACATAGACAGAAATGGATTGTGAGAAGCAGAAAATACAACCAACTTCTAAGACTGATCTTTGGAGGTCTGGAATAATATGTAGATTGTTTAAAATAATTTTTTAGTTGTTTTGGCTTTTTTTTTCTAATGCTGAAAAACTGTCTGTTTTGATGGGAAATTAAGATTAAGTGACCCTTATTAGTCCCACAACAGGGAAATTTCACCTCCGCGACCTAACCCATCCATGCAATGAAACACCACATACACACTAATGAAGACACACACTAGGGGGCAGTGAGCACACTTGCCCGGAGCAGTGGGCAGTCCTATCCGCAGTACCCGGGGAGCAGTTGGAGGTTGGGTGCCTCGCTCAAGGGCACCTCAGTCACACTGTCAGCTCAGGGATACAAACCAGCGACCTTCCAGTCACCACGCTGGTTCCCTAACCTCTATCCTAAGACTGCCCCAGTAAATGGGGTCTCTAACTAACAATAGAAAATCTGAATTTGATTGTAAATGAATGCATGTGAATAAAGGTGAGTCATGTAATAAAAAATTAAACTACTACTGTTAGATGTTCATCAAAGGTAAAACTACACAAAATGTCATCATTTTAGTGATCAAAGTTCTATGGCATGTGTCTTTATTATACTAAATATAACTGCTGGACATGATTGGGTTAACTGATGTGTCAAATCAGGCATGTGTGAGCAGGAAGATCTTTAAACTGTACTGGACTCTTCATTACCTGAGTTGGCACCCCTGCTTTAAAGACCAAAATGATTTCCCTTCATGGAGTTTGTTAGGTGGGTTATTCCAGGGGATGCCAGCTGCCTCCATGTGTGGTTGGAAAGGCAGGAGGAAGCATGTCAGCAAAGCACTAAAGAGGGAATTTCTCTGTGAACAGCATTAAGGCCAAATCTGTCATGGAAGTGCTCTCTACAAAAAGATGGTTCTTCAAGTGTTCTTTAGTAATGGGAATGGTTCTATGTATTTCTATATGGAACCATTTCATGCTTAAAATGTTGCATGGTGAAGTTGTTCATCAGATTGATGGAGCAGATGGTTCTATATAGAACCCTTTTGAAAATGGTTCTATATAGCACAAAAAATTGTTCTTGTATTGTTACAATGTCGAGCTTGTAACAATTGAAGAACCTTTTGGAGCTATATAGCCATATAAGCAGAGTTAGAGCAGTAAAACATCCCAAATGACCAAAAACCCCTTTTGCAACATAAATAAATGTAACGTCATTATGCGAATAGTGAACTATGCTGCCCGTAACAGTTGTCTAAAAACAACAGAAAAGGACAGTTAAAACAGACGATAGGACACTCCAGTGGTTGTCCTAAAGTTAGGACAGTATTTAGGAAATTTAGGCTAGTTAGGGTGTTTCTGTAATACTGTTACAGGCTAAGATTATAAAGCTGCTGTCCTAAATTCAATGTAATTTGTTACTGTACTTAAGTAGTTTTTTGTGTATCTGTACTTTACTGAAGTTTTTTCCATTTTGGGTGACTTTTTACTTTCACTCCACTACATTTCAAAGTCAAATATCTTACTTTTTACTCCAATACACTACATATTATGCAAAATTTGTCATTCCCTTTGGCTTTTGTGTGTATAAAAATGTAACATGTTAAAACAAATTAAGCGTAAAGCAAGAACTCCAATCAGGGCACAGCGCGCACTTTGTTTTGACCTTGTTTTGAGCTGTTGGACTTACCGACCCAGTGTAAGCATACGGTTCAACGTCAGTGCAGCAGCTTAAAAATTTGGGAGCGCCTATTCCAACATAAATAATGAAAGAAACTCTTGACTCTAACCTAATTTTGTGTAAATAGACCACAATATAGAAATATGTACACATATGCAGTTGTGACTGGCATTGTCTTTTCTGAATTTATACAAACACTATTTCATGTTATGGTAAATTTGTTTTTGCGAGTCTATGTTTATGAACTGAGACCTACAGATGTAATACAATAAAGGTAAAACTCATTTGTGAACCTGTGTTTAAAGCAAGTTTTTATTAAACTTAAACTTGTAACTAAGCTGCAAATAAATCTTAAACCGAAACTTTGCTTGTTTGCAAAAAGTTATTTCATAGCCACTCACTTCTACCTAATGGAAATTGTTTGCCTTCAGTGTTTTGTGCTTACGATAATTTTACATCAGTGACAGGCTAATTAATGACATTAATGGGACATTGGAGCCATAATTAATCTTTCAATACTTCTACTTGCGACACTTAAGTACATTTGAAGGCAAATACTTTTGTACTTTTACTCAAGTGGAGGTCTAAAGGGAGGAACTTCTACTTTTACTGGAGTAATACTTTACCTTGGGTATCTCTACTTTAACTCAAGTACATGATCTGTGTACTTCGTCCACCACTGAAATTCAGTCCTAACTGAAGCTGTCATGGTGACAAAACAGATACGATTTCAAAGTTAAGATGTTTCACTAATAAGGCCCTTGAACAGCCAGTCGTCCAAGCCTCTTGTCAGAACCCCCCACGCCACATTATACATGCTGAGCGACGGGTTCTCCTTAAATTCACTACAGGTGGTGTGTGGAGTGCAAATAGGACGTGTTGTTACTTTTCCCGACGCCAGGTGGCGGCGACGCGCCTCTGCGGCAGAAACTGACAGCAGCAGTTCAGCAGCTGCAGTTGCTGCACGGCTCAGCTTCGTCTGTCGTTCAGATGGAATACGTTGCAACTGTAGCCATAAGTAAAGAGTTGTAAGCTATATACATCCAAGAAATGACAAAGTAAGGGCTTTGTTTGTGTTTAAAGAAGCTTTCTTTCAGGCAGCCAGTAAACTTTACTATGTGCTAAAGCATAGATAGCTGGGTTTGATGTAGCTAGAGAGCTAGCTCAGTGGCTAACAAAGTTAGCACTCTCACAAGTTAGTAGGCAACACTAAACCTGGAGCGATAAGTAACTTTCTTAAAACTTAGGGTGTTTTAGACCACCTTCATACCTAATATTTAACCAGAAATTCTGCTTTTTGAATTTACGTGGTACATTGTATAACGGGTTGCCAGTTTTAAGCTCTAAATGCAGAGCTAGCTAGTTAATGAACGTTAGCTAGGTTAGAAATGACCAGCTTTTGTTTTTGTTTGTTTGGTGCTCTTAACGTGTTGATGGCTTGAGTTTTATTATGTTTTTTTTACATTCATTCATCTTGTTATTTGTTTGTCAGATGTCTAAAGAGCCCAAGAGCCAGCTTGGTGAGAATGAAGACAGAGATGATGTAAGTGGAAAGATGACATGGTCACTTCAGTGGAAGTGTCATTTTTTTTGCAGGCCTGTGTTTAGATTGGCTTCAGATCATTCTGACAGACCTGTTTACAGCACGTATATTTAGGTGTTATCCTAAAGGACTATAGGAATATCTGTCATGTTGCCATAATGTAATGATAATAATTATAAACCTTATTTATAGAGCCCCTTTCGTACAGGTAAAGGCTCAAAGTACTTTAAAGATAGGTGATGAAGTTCAGTAATAGTAATAAAAGAGAATAAAGTTGAGTTTAGTGATTTTCTTCCTGTAGTGTTACTGTTTATTAGCAGCAATAAAAGGTAATTTAAGAGAATAAATTTAAATAAACTGAGATAATAGCTTGGAAATGTAAGGCCACATTACAGTTTTTCAGGTGTTTCTTAGAAGTATGTATGAAGCTTAAGTGTCTAATAAAAGGAGGAACTGGGTTTTACACTTTAGAAGCATAAGAGGCACCTTGTGGAACGTTCCATGTTATGAGTAAACCAATGTACTTTTGTCCTCCTCTTCTGGTCAGGATGAAGTAGTGGACGGTAAGCTGAAGTATGTGAAGGGGGATCTGTTCTCCTGCCCTGCCACGGACGCCCTGGCTCACTGCATCAGTGAAGACTGTCGCATGGGAGCTGGTATCGCTGTCCTCTTCAAAAAGAAGTACGGCGGAGTGGATGAACTGCTAGCACAAAGTGAGTGTCATGACCAGAGTGATGTTCAGGTAATATTTACACTCACTAGGGCTGAACAATATGGACAATATGCCATAGTTTGATTATATTTCTACAAACTGCTGTTGTGTCAGGCCCAGAAATTGGTTGAACCAGATTAAAACCAGACATAGGGCCGATTTTTTGGACCAGTGTGACGACTGGATTCAAATTGTGATTATTTCCTATAAATTAAGGTCCATTGTGCCAGACAGCCAGTTAGTTGTGGTTGTGTTGTCATATATGAATCATGTGGGTGTTTACTTGCCTCTGATTGGTCTAATTCATCTATAGGCAGTTCACAAACTTATTACATAAAAATCCCAGTTTTAAACTTGAATGCAGTAACTAAAATTGAAGATAGATTGCGCTCTTTCATATTGCAAATTCAATATAAAACCACAAATCTTTCAGCCTTTGTAAGGACATGGGCAAAGATTGCCATTGTTTCTTGCAGTTGCATCAATGCCTTGATTCATCCCCAACACTGAAGGACATTTGTGTTTGTTCATGATGCTCACAGCCAGTGCCGTCGCTTGTGGGGGGAGAAAGCCGTTATAAATGGCTCCACCTACCCCTTGAGATGTGGCCCCCTGCTCACAGCACACAATGAAACATTTTGATATTACACTGATAATTAACAGAAAATATATTGTGCAGCCCTAAGACTGACCTTGATTAGAAAACACTGTAAAACTTCGGTAAAAGGTTTAATCACTGTTATACTTCATTGTCTGTTCTCACAGAGAAGCAACCTGGAGAATGTGCTGTACTTAAGAGATCTGACCGATTTGTTTACTACCTGGTGAGAAAATTGTCATCACTTTTTAGGATTATTTGCTTGGTAAAACTGTGTAATGTTTCACTACTGGTATTAGAAAAGGTAATTAATCAAAAAAATATATTTCTAATAGGATATGGGCATTTTTTAATATTCAAACTGTACATCATTTTCTTCCCCCATCATGACTGCTTCAGATTACAAAGAAGAAATACAGCCACAAGCCCACTTATCAAACCCTCAGACAAAGCCTGGAAGCCATGAAAGCACACTGCTTGGACAATGGAGTGACCAGACTGTCGATGCCTCGGTATGAAGCATTCATGCATTTCACGTCATGCATCACTGATTGGCTTCAAAGTTAGATCACTTTTTTTAACCCAGCATTTTGAGTGTAATTTTGCAGTCAGCAAGAGTTTCAGGTTTTTTTATACACATTCGTTTACAAAGAATGTGAGAAACTGTCTTTTACATACATTAAAAGTGCTGAATATACACCGATCAGGCAGAACATTATGACCACCTCCTTGTTTCTACACTCATTGTCCATTTTATCAGCTCCACTTACTATATAGGTGCACTTTGTAATTCTACAATTACAGTCCATCTGTTTCTCTGCATACTTTGTTAGCCCCCGTTTACCCTGTTCTCCAGTGGCCAGGAACCCCATGAACCCTCACAGAGCAGGTACTGTTTGTGTGGTGGATCATTCTCAGCACTGCACTGTGTTAATGTGTGTTGTGCTGGTACCAGTGGATCAGACACAGCAGTGCTGCTAGAGTTTTTAAACACCTCAGTGTCACTGCTGGACTGAGAATAGTCCACCAACCAAGAATATCCAGCCAACAGCGTTCTGGGGGCAGCATCCTGTGACCGCTGATGAAGGACTAGAGGATGACCAACACAAACTGTGCAGCAGCAGATGAGCTATCGTCTCTGACTTTACATCTATAAGGTGGACTGACAAGGTAGGAATGTCTAATAGAGCACTGCTGTGTCTGATCCACTCGTACCAGCACAACACACACTAACACACCACCACCACGTCAGTGTTACTGCAGTGCTGAGAATGATCCACCACACAAATAGAACCTGCTCTGTGAGGGTCCATGGGGGTCCTGACCACTGAAGAACAGGGTAAAAGGGGGCTAACAAAGTATGCAGAGAAACAGATGGACTACAGTCTGTAACTGTAGAACTACAAAGTGCACCTATATAGTAAGTGGAGCTGATAAAATGGACAATGAGCGTAGAAACAAGGAGGTGGTCATAATGTTCTGCCTGATCGGTGTATTGTAATCGCTGTTTGCATGTTATCAGGATTGGCTGTGGCTTGGATCGACTGAGCTGGGACAAGGTGTCAGTGATGATTGAAGAAGTCTTCCAACACACAGATGTGGCCATCACTGTATATATACTGTAGCCCATGGCGATACAGGTAGAAGACTTGCACTTGCACTTGATGGTTGGATGTTCTTGTGGATAAAACGATAGGGCTGTGAAAAGTCTGATGATATGCAAAGTCTGTTAGACTTAACAAAAATCTCAGGCCAAATGAAACAATTCCTTGGTGTAAATTACGGACTAAACATTGTTATTTGTTCTTCGTTCAGTTTCTGTTCTGAGAGTCATTGAGGTAAATGGATCATAAAGCATGTCGACCACTAGATGGTGTCAGTGCTTTGAAATACTCTGTAGCTGTCTGCTACATTTGTTAAATTTCTTTTTGTTTTAGTACCAGTTTAATCATTTCTGTTCATGGTGATTGAATTAAACAAATGAGTGCTTCACAAAATAAATGTTTAATTTTCATAACCATATCTATGTCCTATCTTAAGGGTTCTAGCATACAGAATGCAAACAGTGGTGTTATAATGTTTTATTATACTGTGTATGCAGTGCTACACATTGTAATATTTAGCATATTTTAGACATATTTACCTGATTTAATAATTGGAGCCTACTAGTATTAATACTCCACAGCTCCTGTGAGCTTGAAGGTCAGAATTACACTTTTTCTGCAGTTGTGTACAAAACTAATACCATATTAAGTAAACGTCTTAAGTAAATACTCTTGTTTCAATAAAAATATGTATGTCTTCCACAATGCGGTTTAAGCAGTGGTTAGTAAATTCAACAATTAAGTAATCTGTGATATGAATCAAACTTGTGTGAAAAAGTAACTTAAAATGTATGTATAATTTACCTCCATAATTTACCCTTGAGGGTAAACAGCTGATTCATTTAAATATATTTACATATCAATAGTAAAAACTATCACATTTTCTTCACAGTTAACCCAAACTCTAAAAATGCAGTTTATGAAGTAACAAGGTGTTAAAGTGGAGTCAAAATTAGAATAATTTTTTAATGTTAGTGCAATAAAAGTGTGATTAAACTCCTAACGTGTATTTAATCAGATAACTTACTTAGAAATAGTAGTTATTTTAGAAGTATTTGTACTCCATTATTCTCCATGTCTATTTATAAGGATACATTCTCCATTTTTTTTCCTCCTTTAATTCTGGGGGCGTATAGTGCATGCCATCCTTTAGATGGGTATTGGGTTACTTCCAGTCTCTTAATAATAAAAAGTTTAATAATAATATTTTAATTATCAGCTGCTTTTTGTTAACGTTGCTGTCAGTTGTCTAGTTAATTAGGAGGCATGCTTCGCTGTTGCAACATCATATTGAATGTTACTGTTTCTGTTGTATGAATGATTTGCATCAGTATTTAGTCAGGTTTTATTTAAAATGGTATGAAGTGTTAAAGGGGAATTCCACCAAAGTTTCAAAAATTCATTCAGTTGTGTTTTTTTTTTTCCTAAAAATGTAATTGATTTACGTTTTAAACTGATTCTGCATCCTTCAGAGTAGTTTGACGTGAAATGTGCTGTTCTGGAGAAACTTAGAGTCAGATTTGTTCACAGTGGTGATGATAGGAACCAGACATGACACCTTTTTCCTATCACCACCGTTGTAAAGAAAAGAGAGTTTGTAAGTTTCTCTACAATTATTATTATTATTTCACATCAAACCACTCTAAATGACTTTCTTTACATCTCAACAATTGAATTGTGTAGAAATTTGGAAAACTCTGTGACATTTTCCCTAGTTTAGTACTGTAATATGGCCAGATCTAATCTAGACTAAAAAAAGGATATTAATAGAAATGTGGTTTTAATTTTTTTTTTTTCTGATTTCAAGGCTTACTTTTTTCTCTAAAAAACCAACCTTGAGTCAGAACACAGTGAGATGGTGGCCCTTTGACAAAACAAGAATTACAAACTCATTTGATTTGTGTACACCAAGGCTGCAACATTGTGCTGACCCAGTTCCATTGATATGTGGATGTGTTCACATTTCAAGCTTTATTACTCAGTTTTTGCTCAGATTTGATCTTTCTGTCTTGATGGTTCACGTTCATGTTTGTAAGTGACCCATATCGACCAGTAGTGTGAAGAGACTAGGCCTGCAAGCGCACGTTTTTAAAGTCGGTAACATCACATGCATTATCTACATGTGCAAATGTGACACTGGATCAAAACAACAGTAATATGTGCATGCACAGTGAATTGTGATGTTAAAAAAAAATCATTACATTCACACGGCCATGCCTGTATCCACTCTAGGATCACATATAAAAGTGGTGCAAATCTGATTTGAAAAGATCAGATTGTTGTGTTTACATAGCTCTGAAAAATTAGGCAAAAAAAACAAAAAATAAAAAAAAAGGTTTACACTACTTCAAAACCTGTAACATGAAGATAGTCATAGTAGCCATAAGGATGTGCATTCTGTATTTCAGGCATTAGTGAGAAATAGAATAATGCACAGAAATAAAAACAGTTTTACTATAATTAAATGAAAGATTGTACCATTAGAGGAGAGTGTCCTTTGTGACAAATCCTAAAGAGGGGAAGAGAAGGATTACTGTAGATTTTGGAAATTGCAGTTGATAAGGATAAAATGCAGTAGTTTCAGTAAAATAAATTTCTAGTTATAAGAGTAACTCACAATTTAGACCCTTTAGTGCTACTGAAGTCCCTAATTCCCTGGGACATCTTTAGTTTCATTTAGTGGTGATCTATACTGCATTGGTATCAGCACAGACGCTGACCTTATTAAACGGATCAGATATCAGTCAGTTGTGACTAATCCACATTTTATACTGCTGTCGTGGTCATTCTAAAACTGTAAAAGTGCCATTTTGTACACTTCCCACAATAACATAATATAAACATTTGCAGAGTCCTCAAGAGAATTCTGCTGTATGAAATATATCTTATACAGGAGGTGTAAAAAAAAAACAGACACTCCACCTGAAACACTTAAACTTATTGGCCATCTTATAAACACCATATAAGTGTATTTTGTAGGTTTACAACTGTTGCTGCACTCATTTTATCAGTCACCCTCCATTCCATCCATCACTGGAAAGGGACCACCATTGGACCACAACTGACCAGATATTATTTGGGCGGTGGATCATTCTCAGCATCGCAGTAGCACAGAATATTGGCATGTTAGTGAGTGTTGTGCAGGGCAAAGGTATCAGGCACAGCAGTCTTTCTGGAGTTTTTACATATGTCATTATTTACTGCTGGGTTAAGAGTAGTCCAGTCATCCTGCCCTCGAAAACAGACAACTGATGGAAGGACTAGAGAATGACTGACACATAGTGTGCATGGAAAAATATGAGTTACTGTTCCTAACTGTACCCCTAGAATATCAATGTGTCTAACAAGGCAGTAAGTGTACACACCTCAGCTATTCTGGTATCACTGCTGTGCTGAGAATGACCCACCACCCACATAGTAATATCTGGTCATCAGTTGTCCTATTTTGGTCCTTTACATTGATGGATAGCAAAGAAGGGGATTGACATGACAACCTGTGCACCAACAGATCAGCTACAGTCAGTAATTGTAAACCTACAAAGTACACTTTAGTAGGTTTACCTGAAAAAATTGCGCATAATACAATATACACTAGATACACAATATACACAATAGACGCACTATGGTAAATTAGCCTCAAGTGCATATGTATATTTATGTACTACAAAACTACACAATTACAAAAAATATGAGGGCCTTAACAGAGAACTGGTATCAGATCAGTACACCGTATCAGTCAGTACTCTGCATTCAGATATTAGAAATGGCATCAGAAGAGAAAACTTTGGATTGAGCATCCACTAGTTTAATTTTAGCAAAAGTGCTTATATTAAACATCACTATGACCTGTTTTAAAACTGATGTAATAGTTAATTTTATTACATCATTCTTGACCTAAGACTAGGCGCCATACAAGATTATGGTGAGGGGTTAAGTGCTTTATTTACCCTATTGCAGAATGCTAGTGAGCTTCTCATCATAGTACTCGTAGCTTTCTTGACAGTCCTCCCAGAGTGTAAAGTTGTCTTCCTCGTTCTCTACAAAAGTGGACCAAACATAGGTGAAGTCCACAGGCCTCATCATCCTTAGTTTGCACCCTGCTTGTGCCAGAGCCTTTAGCCCCACCTGCACCTCGGGTTCTTCCCACAGGAAGAGACGGGAGCAGTGGATGTTGAGGCGTAGTGTCTTGCGGACTCTCAATATCTCTACCAGCTTAGCAGCACATGCAGCACAGGGGCTGGATGACGTGTACCAGGTGACCGTGTAGTTCAGTGATTTGTCATACTGGGGCAGCACCTGTAGGAAGAATGCCTCCTCAGCATGAGTGCCAGAATGCTCATCCTCTAGGTAACCCCGGAGACCATCAGGTTCTCCTGAGCTACTCTGTATGTCCACCTGGTAGCATAGGAAGGTCTTGTTGCGGCCACAAGAGTACTCCACGTTTTTGAACTGGAACTTGAAGAAAGTGGGGTTGAGTCGATCTCTGAGAAGGCACAGACAGTGATTGCAGTCAGAGATCCCAGTCCAGCCTTACAAGCTTACGTCTATGCATGGTAGGGGCAACTCCCGTGCTGGACCAGAGGAGTCCTGCACAGTTTTGTGGTTTTACTGCTTGAACAAACCTGATTCAGCTCACTTGTTAAAGCTGCACTATGTAAGATTTTTTTTGTTAAAATTAAAAGAAGTAGCATTATTCAGTCAGGGGGGAAAAAACACAAAAAATGTATATGTGCTGCCGCGAGTCACCCTGTAAAGCCTGAAATAGTCATTTAAAAGTTAGAGGTGTTGGGTTGGATTTTTGTGGACCATGTTGCACATCTTTATGCATTAACATCTCACACACTGACTCAGAAAGAAGGTCTGGCTCGATGATAAGTGCTCAAATGCAGAATCAACATTATACGGATAAAGATATGATGACAATAGTAGATCATTTACATCCTCAGAAGACGTCCTTCAAGTTCTTTTTTTAATAATCTTCCAAAGCGCTCCCCTTGCGGAAGGATTCCGAAGCACAGCTAATGTTGCTAATTGTTCTTCTGCATGTTGCATACAATTGCACATTGTCTCCAAATGTCCAAATCTTACATAGTGTAGCTTAAACGATCAGGTTTGGCAGGTGTGTTGGAGCAGGAAAATCACCTGTGCTGGACTGTAGCCCTTCAGGACTGAAGTTGCCCACCCCTGGCCTACTTAAGATGGCAAATGATGAAATTTCATATTCTCATATTCAGTCTTGCTTGTCAGTATTAGTGCTGTCCATACTGAACATTTCTGATGCTCTGATGAGTATGCAGCACTTTAAATAAAGCAACATACTTCATATAAATTGTATTGCCTAAGTGTAAGAACTCATACCCACTAGCTGTGGTTATAGTAGGCAATGGAACAAAGACAGGTGCTCTAAAAAAAGCATTTTATGCCAGGTTCCCTTTAACCAATCAGTGCTTGGCCCAGAAACCAATGTATGCCCTACCTGGCACATGTTATAATAAACTAAATGTTAAATAGCCTAATTCTATACATACAAGTACTAAAGTAATATCTATTGAAAGAACAGTCATGAATCTGTGAGATTTGTTCATCGGTCCTTAAAGAACTCATCAAGAGACAGATAACTATATAGTCCTTACCCAATGATGATCTCAAATGGAGGTAGCTCTATAGGCTCAAACTGGAATTCTCCATCCTCGGTGCCCCCCTGTGCTCCTTCGGCTGTCTCCCCGTTTCCATTTGGCGTCTTGTCCTCTTCTTTTGGCTTTTCTGGGGCCTTCTCTGGCTTCTTTTTCATCTTCTCATCCTTCTCTTTCTCTTTCTCTTTCTCAGCCTTGGCCTCTGGTTTTTTCTCCTTTTCCTTTTCAGCAGGTTTAGTCTCCACTTTCTTTTCTTTCTTTTTTACCATACCTGCTTTGCTGGGGGCTTTTTTATCTGCCATGACTGAGCTTAATGCTGAGCTGTGCGTGTTGGAGAGTTCAGCAGTGTGATTTAGCAGATGTATCAGAAAGTCGGGGACTGGGCGCGTATGTTCCTGATGTCAGGGAGTACGTTTGTAGAGATGATTTCAATCTCCGGAGAATATGGAGCGAGTTGGTCAGAGAATGCCGTTGGGATATTGAGGGGCAGCTGCTCTCTCCTGTTTCCATGCTATTAAAAGAACCAAGGATAATGCAGTGTGGGTGGGGGGGGCGAATTCTGCATACGTTCTGTTATTTCGGACCTGTTACATCAATGAAACAAACCCCAGTGACTTTTTTAGTTTTTATTTATTTATTTTTGTACCCAGCCGTTCTTCTTTTTCAGTTCAAATTTAAACACACATGCTGTTTGTGAAAAACTCACACAGATAAAGCTAGGTCTCCCATTTGTCTGGTTATTAAAGTTGTCTGCACACCAACAACAGGCAGTTTATTAATAACCATTTTTTGGCAGAGGGTGTAGAGTGAGTCATTCTCTTTGGATAAATAGGCCATAATGCCCTCACACCAAGGCCACCTAAAGGTCAATACAGCCCTGGCACTGAAATGTATTCTAGTAAGCCCAGTAGAAATCAGATACACAGTAGTTACTCTTCATTAAAAAGTATGTTTAGTCTTTCCTTAGCTAGACAGAAACTGACTTGTTTCTTTACAGATGCTCAATCCCAGCCCAGCTGGTCAGCAGAGTTTTGACTAGGTACTATAATACTGTATATAAACATAGGATAAACATGGCACAATGTGGGATCATAATGGAATTTCACAATATGGTGTTAAGGGGAGATGATCTCCTGCCGTGCGACAAGATCAACTCAACTGCAACAAACATTGACTCATTCGGCTAAACCATTGCAGATCTATTTCTTGTTGCAGGTTGCCACTGTATCCCATGTGCATGTGTTTCGATTCACATAAAATGTTGAGTTCTACATAGAGCAAGTAGTAATCTGTAAGTGCAAGAGTGCTGATGTAAGATCAGTTTTGCATTTCATATCCATATGGGGTAGAATGAACTTAGATCAGTATTCTAACCCGGAGGTATATTTCATATATGAGCCATGTTTGCTTGCATCATGTTTACCACAGTGTAAATATGTATGGAGCAGTGAGCATATCTATCGCCATGTGTACACTGCAGTCTGTGCCTTGGATTTGCCCGTTGGGCGTAATATGAAAGAATACACTGTTTATTTTTCCTTTCCACCCAGAGCAACAGAATGACAGCTCATCCATTTCAGTTGGGATGAAAATGGCCTGTCGGCACACTGTTACTGGCCTGGTAATTACCTCTGAAAAGAATTACTCAGCAGAGAGAGGGAAATTGAAATTGAGGTGCTGCTCCCCCTCTTCCATTCTCACATACACACTAAATATTCATTACATCTGCACTGCGCCACTGCTCTCCTCTCTCATATCTAAACCTGTGTGAGATTGCATTTATAGATATATAGGTGCTTTATGCTAATGGCCAAAAAATACAAGCTTCTAAGAAGCTATTGAAAATGCATAACCTGACATGTGTATACAATCTTACGATCACTCACATGCCTGGTTATCTTCACCATCTTCCGACACACAAAATCAGCGGCGATGCTTTTGTGTTATAAAAAATGGTAAGCGCCTGGTTGCTATGGGATTCTGCCTTCTCCGTGTTGTGATAAAGAGAACAAAAAACCTGTTGTTTCCCGGCTGCTGATGTGTTTGACTGAGAATTTTTAAACTCTTTCTATTTACACACCAACTGCCAAACAATACATTACAGGCCTTCATTTCCTTCATGGTTTAATGCTCTTGCTATTCAGCCATGCCAGCTGGAGACTCTGTTCAATTCCCTACAGGAATGAAATGTAATTATTTCCAATTACCCAGCCTGCCTGCAGCTTTCCGGTAGGCTGGATTTGTAAGCTAAGAACAAACACAGAAAACATTTATCTGCCATATTGTCGCTTGCTCTGATCTCCTTCATGGTTATAAAGGTCGTATCAACAAGGAAGTGGTACGGTTTTGTTTTTCTTTGCCTGGAAGTCTGCAATAATACAAAATTTGAGTAAATCAATTAAGCTGTGAACAGCATCCTGCCCTTGGCCACTGCATCATGCCTGATAAGAAAATAAAAGGGGGGGCTACGCTTTTGTTGTGAACTCTTATTTATTTGGATATCATAACATTGAGGTGAAGAGCAAGTAGAAAGAACATGAGAATGAGAATTATACGTGTAAAACATGCCACATAACTAAAGCAATAAAAGTATCAGCTAGTACAACAAAAAAATCTAAACTACATTGTAATTAATGTGTAAATATACGCATCTATAAATATATTTACTGTGTGTATATATACCCAGACAGAAAAAAGACAGTTTGATGTTCCTTTGGGTAATTCTACAGTTTGAATACTTGGATGTTACAGGCACAAGCTGCTGTTGGGATTTGAGGCATCTTCCTTTAAAAAAAAATCCCAATTTCTATAAAGCTATTGTCAGTAACCTGTAAAGATGCCCTTTAATTTTGTTAGGACCACAGTATACTATAATTGGCCTTTAAGTAAATCAGAGTCTCTAAGTTCTTTGGAAGGGGCCGGCATCGTTCTGGTCTTAAGGTTTTGCCCACAAGACTGAATATCCTTTCCACGGTTGTAGCTGTAGCTGGCACTGTAAACACTTTCTTGGCAACTTGTGAAAGCAAAGGGAAGTCAATGGACTTGCGCTTCCAGTACTGCAGTGGATCCTCATCTGTGGGCTCCTCAAGGAGGTAAGCAGACAGCTCCTGCTCCATACTCTTGGCTTGCGTGGTTGGTCTTTGCTTGATGAAGGAGAACAGCCTGCTGCGTTTGGATGGTGATGGCTGGGTGTCTAAACTCGGCTCTGGTGGACTCACTGCCTGGGTGTGCTTTCCCACCTCCTCTAAGAGAACCTGCTTATGCCAGTCACGATCACTGCTCCACGAAAGCTTGAACTGTGGATCCAGGGTAGTAGCTGTGACATACAGAGGGTCCTCCAGGATGCCTGCTAGCCTCCGGTCCAGTGCCTGAGACAATCCTGTCACGATCCCAGTGCACTGGTGAGTTACAATCTCTGCCAGGTGCTTACGCAGACCCAGCACACTGGGAAGGGCAAGGCTGATAGATACATGCTTGTCTCCCTTGACCATATCTGTGGCCTCCTCAAAAGGCTCCAAGACCTCAACCAACTCCCGCAGCATGGCTTTCTCCACACTGTTAAGGGCCAGGTCATTTCTGTCCACTATATCCTCCAGAAAATCCACCGACTCTAGCATTTGGCGCATTGTCTTAAGCTGGGTGTTCCAGTGTCTGTCTGAAGCTGAAGGGCCTTGTCCATTTCCAGGACTGAACACTTGGGCAAGTTTTTCAGCGGTGACCGTTGCAATGATGTAGTTATAGAAGCAAGCAGCTTTGGTGAGAGTTATGGATAAGTGAGGGGAGGAACGGATTCCTTCTCGGACGCACTGACCTAGTGAGCGGGCAAAACAGTCTATTCTACACCGAGCCAGGAACTGATTTACAGAGTTGTCCTCCTCTGCTCCACTAACATCTTCTTTACCTACCCCTGGGCCAGTCTCTTCATCACTGCTATCTTCCTCTTCCTCATCATCCACATCACCATTACCATGGAGGTAGAATCCAGGCAGGCGGAAGGCAGATCGGCTTTCGTAGGGGGAGGGGTCAAGAACAATCCGAAACACCTTACCTGAGATGCCGTTAGCGTGGGAGATTTCATCAAAGTCATTAAGCATGCGTTGAGTGTCAGTTTGACTTGGCAAAGGTAAACATGCCAACAGCGCTGATTTGATCTGCCAGTCTGTGGTTATGAAATGACATGTCACTCCCATGTAGCCAGAACCAGCATTGAGCGATACAGCATTGCTCCTCCACAGGTCCAGGGTCACGCTGCAGGATTCTGCTCCTGACAGAGCCAGCTTGGTTGCTACCTGTACTTGGTAGGCGTATGCCGGGAGGAGCTGCTGCTGTATGTAATGGCTTGGTTCTGGGACGTAACGGGGCTCGAGGAGCTGAAGTAGTTCACGGAAGCCCTCGTTCTCCACAATCTGCACAGGCTGCAGGTCTCGGATGATCATCTTAGCAATGGTTTCAGAAATGAGGGACTGTCGTGGATCGCTGCGGTCAAATTTGCCCGTCCCCGATCCACTCTGAGTAGCTGTTCGACTGGCATCTCTCATAGGTGCATAGGTCTGCACCGTCCCCGAAGCATAAGCCTCTCTTTTCACATCTTTCTTCCTCAGAAACTCATCGTACATTTCTTGATGTTTGCGCTGTGTGAAGGTGGGAAAGAAGATAATGGTTGTCATTAATTCTGAACACTTGCACAATCTGTTTCCTGCCATTCCCTCCTATGGTCCCATATGGAAAATTAATGTATGTAAAGTGTATTTATCACATGCACTTAAAAATGGTATAATGTTTTTAATACAAGTGTTTGTTTTATTTCAAAATGTATTCCAATGTATCTGAAATATCTTTTCCATATAAAGTAATACTTTCCCATGTATTTTTTTCATATCAAGTGAAACCTTTGCTTCTGTATGTGCTTCTATGCATATGTTTATTATATAATTTCATATAACAAAAAAACAAGTTCAGTCTTTATTGTCACCAAGGGTCAGAGTCAGTTTCCCACACAAGGAATAAGCTTGGTCCTGCACTACAGAGCAATGTGAAAGGAGGAATTAGTCCAGGACTAGGCTTAATACCTGTTTGGGTTTGTTTGTTTAGTCCTGGACTACATTTAATAGCCGCAGCTGAGTTACTAAAACCGAAAGACGGGACGTACCAAGTTATAACCGTTTTCATTAGTGCTCTGCTGCATTAATATTCTAGTGTTCCTGTGCACAAATCTCACGACGCCATGAATGCAGTTTGGCTCAAATTAATAACCGCCCATCGCATTACCTTTAAATGTGTAACGAAGTTAGAGGTAACTGTCCGCTTGGCCTGTATCCGTGTGCCACAAGCTTTGCAGTTCGACTCGATTTTTCCATTTTCCCCCTCAAAGACAATATTGAAGTAATCCAGAATGGAGACTCGAGAATTTGACGCCATCGGTGATTCTCAAGTCCTCTACGACGAGAGCAACAGAACACCCAATGTGCAACTTTTCCCCCAAATCGTTTGCGATTTGCTCTCCTCTTCAAACAATCCCGCAATCTAGACAGCGTTCCGATTCAGTACTGTAACGCCGATGGCTTCGCCGCTGTCAAACATGATAACAGGCTTGTTGTCTGCGAGATAACGCGTTCATCTGAATCTACACCGATCGCATCGCCTGCGCATTATGGCGGAACTGTCACACACAGCATCCACAGAGCTTGACTGTTATGCTTTTTTACGCTCCCGGCTCAGAACTCGCGACACACAGGCCAAGATAATGTGGTAAATTATTCGCCCCCCACTGTAAACAGCTCTATCTAGCCGATAGCGCTTCGGACTCCAGGAAGTAGACAGTAAAGGGGAGGGCTTCCCTTCCCTCGACCATTTTGACGGTTCCCATCCACAATTGGCTGAAATAATATGCATTCAAGCGGATAATGCATTCAGCGACCGCGGCGCTGGGATGGCCCGTGTTTTGTTAGGTTATCGCTTGCGTGAACTCCGGGCTGCACCGTTCTGTGTCGGGATGATTTGAACTAGGCTGCGTTCAGACAGCGTGTCCTATTCAGAGCCGCAGCAGTGTCTGGTGGCTCAGTTCATTCAAACAAAACATGTGTACTTCACCTTACCATGTGTTGTGCCGTGTGAAGCTGAAGACCTAACACCGTATGCTAACTTGCATAGCCACGATTCCGTGCATTTTCTATGGCGTGGATACCTGCAGCGCTAACTTAGCTAGCACGCTAGCGAGTGCAGTGCTGATGGGATAACGTTGGTGGTAAAAAGAAAGAAAAAAAAAAACGACAAAACACGTTCAGCTGCAAGTTTGTTCGAGTACTTCCCAAACTGCTAGCAGCAGCTTCAGCCCTATGGCTAAAGCAAACAGCCTGCTCGCGTTAACTCGTTGTTTAGGGGCGCATTTAAGGCAAGAATTTGAGTCGGACAGGAGAAGCAGCTTGCTAGCAAGCTAGCTAACTGTAAACAAATAACAACGCGCACATTCGAGGCAGCACCTCGGCAAAAACATCTATACACATTACATTAACTAGCCATATGACTGCAAGTGTACTCATTGCTCCTGGCAACTCACATCCAAGTGTTTCTTCAGGTTTGAGCAGGACGTTTTCGGTGTCGACAGAACGTTCTTTGTAGGGAGGCATAAGTTGCACTGAACATAGAGATTATTTCCACGCTCTTCTTGAATTGTGAAGTGCCGTCTAAACCGCCATGCATAGAACCCAACCTTCCCCTTTCTCCCCATTGCAACCGAGCACGCGTCCATCGAAAGGCTCGGATAACAACGTTCAGCTAAAGTTTGAGAAACACTTAGCCACTAACAGAAATGGCTGGTAAGTTGGCTAAACAGTTTGATACGCCCCCTGTACCCCCTGGTGGACATTGTTCAAACATAAAAGCCTCGCGTTACCCTGAACTTTATTGAAATAAACTCGGCTTTCATCGAAAAAAACGTTTCAGATGGACATAAAGCAGTTATTCAGACGTGATTAGTTCAGCTTCCGATGGTTTGAGTTCCACATTTGTATACCTTCATATTGTTTGTCTCATCCAGCGTATTTATTGCTCCCCTGGTGGGCTTTTGAGTCTGTCTGTGCACTGTTAGGTATTAACTGCATTGTAGTCAGTCTTGTACTGCACTGTCTTGATTATTTGCGTTGTTAGTAATTTTAGGCTGTATCTCTGACTTACACTGTGTAGTGTAAACACAGCCCGTGTGTGTTGTACTGTGTCCCTGGAGGAACGTCGTCTCATTCCACTGTATACTTGGATACGGATGGGATGATAGTGTTGAAAATAATAAACTATACTGAAGGCAGAACCTGAGTATGTGGATCTTGAGCAGGATTAACTGCTGTATTGTTCTCTATCATTGCTTAAAACAGGCGGTCACCACAACCAGCATCCAAACACTCCGCAATTTTAGTTTAAATCTCAAACAAGATAGTAAATGGTAATTAAACTTAAAATAATGTTTCACACTCACATCACATCCCAATGCTAAATTATACTGTTTATTAGGAATACATAAACCACAAATACCCTATGTAACTGATAACAGAACAATATTTTACTACTTGATTTCAAAAGAGATTTATACATCATTGTTTATTCCAGATTTACAGTCTAATTTTGGTGCATAAAAGGGACTGGTAGAAAATCATAGAAATAAATAATTTATCCAATAAAGGAAAAAAGGTACAATAATTATGTCATCTATTATTCCATCAGTTCTTGGCAAATCTTGTGTTTCTCTTTTATCTGAGCCTGCATCTCCATTCTGGTGGCCAGAATCGCACTCTGCAGGGTTGCAATCTCTGCTGACAGAGTGATGACTGCAAATACAAAGAAAGAAAATTGCAGTATGGTTATATTCAAAGATCTCACAGTGTTCAGCCTTTTTTTGGATAAACAGAATGTCAAAATATTCAGCATGGATCATTTTTTTCCATCATAATTACTTTAAGAATTTGCTGAAAAACAAAGATTATTAGCCAACAAAACCAAAAGGCCAGAGAACGCAGACCCAAACACAGACAGACATATTTGATGTTGGTTTGTTAGGAGAATCTCTCCCTATTCATTCTGATTCATTTTGCTGGTCAGTTCTTCTTCTGCACCTTCTAACTGCACTCATTATAATGTTGCTATTTGTTGCAGAGTGTTTAGTCTCTGTGGTCTGTCCTTAAGAACGCTGGATAAAGAGATAACCCTTATGATTCCTCAAGAAGAAGAGATCCAATAAAGAAAATCTCTTAGGAAAAATCTAGTACATAAAATTAAGTCTATGGTTGCCCCCCCTCCCACACTCTGTCCCCTGTTCTACAATTTTACACCCATTATAAAAAGGTTTGCATTTGTTACATGAATACAAGCTTTGTAAAGCTGTAATCTGGCAATTGTAGGTGCAAGACAAACTACTGCCTCAACAAAAAGTTTTTTTTTTCTGCAGTCATGCACACCGCCTGCCCACCCTCCGATCAAAGGTCAAGTCCAGTAAAAGGTAAAAGGTTACATGCCTTTATGAATTCATTTCTCTGAGGTGTGCTATTATGTGCTAAAGTTACAGAATATCTTACAATTACACTGTAATTACATGTTATAGTCGTTTGCTGTACACAGCTGCACATGCACTTGAACTGAGTATTTGAAATATGGTGCATGTGGGTTCAAATAGTTCTGAATAAACTCACCAGCCAAGATAATGTGGCTTTATTTAGTGTTTCTCACCAAAAACCAGAAATGTAATTTTGATTTCAAGTCACAGTGTTTGTGCTTCTTTTTAACCTCACCTTCTTTAAAAGCAGCCTGAGCTTGCTTAAGATTCTGTGGCACAAGAATTCCAAACCATTTCAGTGGATCTTGATGCTGACTGAGGGATTTCTCACTCTTTACACTACCCTGAGGTTGTGTTTCACATTGCCCCTTGGAAGTGTCCTCTTCCTTAGTTTCTTTCTGTTTGACATTCATTCTCCTCCTAAGGCCTGAAAATAAAGGATTTTTCTCATTAAAACTTCTCCACTTTTGTTCCCTTGTGCAGTGTTTCTCAACCCTGGTCCTGGAGGCCCACTGCCCTGCACTTTTTAGGGCTTTCCCTGCTCACACCTGATCCAACTAATCAGCTCATTAACAGCTCATTAAGTTAAAGTGGGGGCGTTAAAGCAGAGAAAGATATAAAATGTGCAGGGCAGTGGGCCTCCAGGTCCAGGGTTGAGAAACACTGCCCTAGTTCATCATTATTTGATATTATGTTGTTAAATTGCATCTGTAACAACAACATTTTGATTTAATGATGATGACTAATTAGTTGCAGCTGTGTAACATCAATTTCCAACCTCACAGTCTTCTGTGCATTTCATAGCTGTTGTAAGTGCAGTAGTTTTTCATTCAGAATTAATTTATGACATCAAAAAATGACCATTCCAGTGTTTCAGCCCTACCTCCCTCCGTTGGTCCTATGTTCTCTACTGTTCCACTCGCTTTCAGGTCTTCCGGTTTGAGCTCTGTTTGTTCACACTTAAACTCCACATCACCCTTTTCTGAAAGGCTGCATTTCAGGATGATAATAAAAAATAATTAGTCATATACAAACTTCTTTATGCTGCAGTGACCATGGACACTATAAACCTAATTCCAAAAAAGTTAGGACACGTTAACCTGTGAAAAACAGTAAAAGACAAGAAATCTACCTTATCAACACTCATTCTGAACTGATGCCTGTAACATATTATGAAAAAAGATGGGGCAATTTAAGACTTGAAAGGTTGTGATGTTCAAAAAAAAAACACCCAAAACATCTTAAACCAGTGATGCGGTCATGCTTGAGTATAAAAGAAACATCCAGAAAAGGTCTTGAGGAAAGTTCCTCAATGAGAATTTTAGGTATTTCACCCTCTACAGTGCCTATTTGCCTATCATCATCAAGATACAGTGAATCCAGAGAAATCTCTGCACATAAAGGGCAAGGCCGAAAACCGCAACTGAATGCCCGTGACCTTTGATCCTTAAGACAGCACTGCATAAAAAAACAAAGCACAACGGCAAGCTTCTGTGAAGGATATCAACACAGAGCTTTGGAATACTTTGAAAAACTGTTGTCAATAAACACAGTTTGTCACTGCATCCACAAATTGCAATTTAAGACTGCACTAGTCACAGCGGACACCTTATGTCAGCAAAGTCCATAATGCCGCGGACATCTCTGGACTCAAGCTCATCTGAAAAAGACCGATGCAGAATGGAAATGTGTAACATGGTCTGACAAGTCAACTTTTATAGAAGTGGAACTTATATAGTTTGTGGAAATAATGTGTTCTCCAGGCCAAAGAAGAAAAGGATCTTCAAGACTGTGACCAGCATAAAGTTGAAAAGCCAGAGTCTGTCATGTCATGGAGATGCATTAGTGCTCGTTGCATGGGTAACTTGCACACCTGTGAACGTGCCCGGTAATGCTAAAAGACATATACATATTTTTGGAGCAACATATGCTGGTTTCAACTTGATAACACCAAACCACATTGTGCATGTGTTACAACAGCACGTCTGCGTGGTCAAAGAATGTGGGTCCTAGGCGACCTGACTCCCACTGAAAATATGTGGCGCAGTATGAAGAGTAAAATATAACAAAAAGCCCAGTATGGCTGTGCAGCCAAAGACTTGTATAACAGTAGAAAAAAAAGTCCACTTTCACATCTCGCTCAATTGGTGTCTTCAGTCTGCAAATGATTATTAGGTGTTGATGAAAGGAAAGGTCATGTAACACAGTGGCAAACATAAACCTGTCCCAACCTTTCTGGCATGTGTTGCAGGCATCAAATTTGGAGTGTATAAGACAAAACATCAATTGTGTTTTTGTAATGTTTTCAATTTGATTTAATCACAGCTTTCCGTTTTTGTTAGCATTTCACTTACTGTCCCTTTTTTTTTTTTGGAATTGAGGTGTTATACATACACAGATGTGTACTAACACAACTGGTATTCTGCTTGTACATACACTAAATCCATGTGCCTCCACAGATGTTTGGTCCAAAAGCTTTGAATAAGGCTTTGAAAAAATGTCGCTTTTTAATAAATGTAATGAAACATCTGTACTGGTTTGTAGATAGGGGATATAGATTTGTAGATAGGCAATATAACAATATTCAGCATTATTATGATAAAATACGCCACAATTTGAGCATATCATGGACTGTCAGTACAACTGCAATTTTAATCACAAACAGAGCAAAATTAGTCCTGTTTAATTAGATTTAGTGCAGTTCAGTAAGTGAAATTTTGAATAAACATCATTGTATGCAAGTCTTTAAGTAGTAGTTTTACATTTTTTAATGTGGCACCACTGTTTTTACTTTCATCTGTTCCATTTTATCAAATTTCACAGAAACGAAGTAATGTGATGTATATCGTATATCAAGAAAATGTCCTGAAGTATTGTGATGGTATATTTTTTCCCCACATGACCCACCCCTACTTATAGTGATGTGGATCTAAAATAGTATGTTTTTTGTTGTGGCTGTAACTCCAAACATGTAAGTCAGTTTATATGTGAGTATGAATCAATTTATTTATCATAAATGGATAAAAGGTTTTTTTTAAGTGTGCATTCTTCATCCAGAAGCTTCTGGATTTGAATATGTGTATCAACAAGCAGGTTTTGTAGACTATACATCTACAGCACGCATCAAGAGTAGTGACAGAGTAGTTTACTGTAAAGGGTGTGGATTTAGTTTGAGCTTGAATGCTGTTGCACCTGGAATGAACACAGACGAGCGGTTCCATCTCGTTTGCATACTGTAGAGACGAGACCTGCTTGTTCCCCATTGAGTAACGTGCCTTGGATATGTTAAACCATCCCTGTGGAAATACAGTTATTGGCCTTTTGTGAATATCAGTCTTTCAAAACTCATTCACATACTCGTACTAACATTATATATATATATATATATATATATATATATATATATATATATATATATATATATATATATATATACACACAACCCTATTTCCAAAAAAGTTGGGACGCTGTGCATAATGTAAATAAAATTAGAATGCAATGATATGCAAATCATGAAGACCCTATAATTAATTAAACACAGTGCACAGACAACATATCATATGTTAAAAATATGTTAACAACAGGTTCCAAAAAAGTTGGGACGGGGGCCTGTTTACCACTGTGTTGCATCACCTCTTCTTTTAACAACACTCTGTAAGCGTTTGGGAACTGAGGAGACACTGCTGTAGTTTTGAAAGTGAAATGTTTTCCCGTTTTTGCTTGATATAGGATTTCAGCTGCTCAACAGTTCAGGGTCTCCTTTGTCATATTTTTTGCTTTATAATGCACCAAATGCTTTGAGTGGTTGGACAGGTCTGGACTGCATGCAGGTCAGTTTAGCTCCCAGACTCTTTTACTACATAGCCATGATGTTGTAATACAGATTGAATGTGGTTTGACATTGTCTTGCTGAAATAATCAAGGCCTTCCCTGAAAAAGACGTTGTCAGAATAGCAGCATATGTTGCCAAAACCTGCATATATTGTTCATCGTTAATGGTGCCTTCAGAGACGTGCAAGTCACCCATGCCATGTGCACTAATACACTCCTATACTATCACAGATGCTGGCTTTTAAAATGTGCGCTAATAACAAGCTGAGTGGTCTTTATCCTAGAGGACACAGTGTCCATGATTTCCAATAAGACTTTCAAATTTTGATTTGCCTCAGTCCATCTTAAATGAGGCTGAAAGTAGGTGCCGGCATTTCTGGATCCTGTTTATATATGGTTTCTTTTTTGCAAGGTAGAGTTTTAACTTGCGTTTGTGAATGCAGCGACGAACTGTGTTCACAGACAGTGTTTTTCAGAAGTGTTTCTGAGCCCATGCAGTGATTACCACTACAGAATTGTGTCTGTTTTTAATGCAGTGCCGCCTGAGAACCTAAAGATCATGTCCAGTCAGTGTTGTTTTTCGGCCTTGTCCCTTGCCTACAGAGATTCCCCTGAATCTTTTAATGATATTATGTATTGCAGATGAAAACATCAAGTTTTTTGCTATTTTAGTAGTGAACCCTCCCCACCTTTACTTCTAAAAGAGTCAGCCTTTCTGGGATATTTTTTTAGCATTACACAACTTTACCAGTCTTTTGTTGCCCCTGTCCAAACTTTTTTTGTAACGTGCAGCTAGCCTCAAATCCAAAGAGTACATATCTTTCAAAAACAATAAAATGTATCAGTGAAATTTTGATGAGTTGTCTTTGTTCTATTTTCAATTAAATGTAGGGTTTCAATGATTTCCCTGCTGAAAAAGACACATTATAAAACCACAAGGAACCAACAGAAGCACTTAATGGTTACTATTGTTTTTTTCAGCAGGGTTGCACATCACTGCATTCTGTTTTTTACATTTTGCACAGCATCCCAACTTTTTTGGAAACGGGGCTGTAGAGCCATTTTCAAAGAGGATCTCGACAGAACCATATACAACCCATTCTCCATCAACCTAATTTCACCTACAAAGAACCATTTAAGCATGAAATGGTTCTATACAGAACTCAAGGTTCTAAATAGAGAACCATTGCCTTTACAAAAGAACCCTTGAAGAACCATCCTTTTTTTAGTGTGTAGCGTTATGATTTCAGGTATCGTTTCTTACCTCTTCTATGAGTGAGTTTAGTTTTTGTCTTTTCTCCTCCAGAATCTCGAGCTGATCCATAAAATGAAGTAGCTGCTGATCTATATTCACAGAGACAGGATCCAGACCCATTTCCACAGCTTCGACTCGCAGTTCTGAACAGAAACCTGAGCTTTACGCTCCAGACTGCGGCAGAGAGCTTCGTGTAGTATAATAAAACTATTATGATTGTTTTTTAACACTCAGAGTGAGTCGTTACTGTTTTAGAGCGAGATGTAACCTATAAACGCCTATTTCCACTCGCCACCGCCATAACAGGTCATATGACTGCAAGAGTCAGCTGACAGTGGAAAACCAATGAGATCTCTCACTGCGCTTCACTGCGCCGCTCTCGTTGGATTTACGTAGTGAGCTATTCTCCATACATGCGCACGGATCGTTACGGATCCATAAACAAGCATATAGGATATATGACTGGAAATGGAAAAGGCGGTTGGGTGATGCGTGTGGAAATGGAAAAGTGAACTCAAAGGCATAGCTTTATTTCCCAACAGGTTTTTTCCATTTCCAGTTGTATTCCCAGTTTTCTTTTTTCATTTGCAAATGTGACCTACGTCCAAATTGCCGTTTCCGTTTCCAAAAAATATTTCCCAAATGCCTCTTTCCTTTCCAAATGTATTTACTAACCAATCCATTTTCATTATTTTTTCTACTCAGGTGCCTTTTTCATTTTGAAGCATGTTTCCCAATTATCTTTCCCATTTACAACTGTCAATCAACTTGCTTTGGCCCACATCAAGTCAAAGTAGCTGCTCCCAGATCAACTCCAAAGTTGCTAACTTTGACCAGACACCCATTACAGCGCATTAATGCTTAAGGGAAATATTCTACACACTACACAAGTGAGGGTCCTACAGTTAATTTAAGGCAGACTGCTACTTATTCGAGATCAACTGGATGCCTGTAGCCTATGGCTTTCTGGTAAGCAGTCAGTGTATGACAGTTCCACAGTCCTGTACTACCTCTGTCCTGCGGATTTTGGTTATTCCAGCTATACCCACCTCAATTCAGGAAGAGCTTGTTAATTAGCTCATTAGCTGGAACAGGTGTGTTTGGGCAGAGAAGGCACTACTACACTGTACAGGGGGTACTGAGTTTATATATTCACATGGGCTATCAGAAAATGTGTGAACCATCTTCCATTAAGTCACTCTTGGACTGGCCTATGAGTAGACTCATTCTATAGCAGAGGTCACCAGTCCTATCTAATAAGGGCCAGTGTGGCTGCAGGTTTTCATTCCAATCAAGCAGAAGCACAGTTTATCCCAATTTTTAATCAGTTGTTTTCAGTCTTAAAACAACTGGTTTGTTATGCGAGATCTACTCCTGCTTGGTTGGAGTGAGAACTTCACTGGCCACAGTAGCCCTTTGTGGATAAGACTGGTGACCCCCATTCCAAACTGAGTGTCGTCCCATAAGAGGTAAAACATACTGACTGAATACTGACTTTTACTTATGTCTTTGACTCTCCACAATACAGAATCGAATAGACTACCCCTTATAGTCGATAGCCCATGTGATGAATAAACTTTCAAGTAATTATAAATAGGATTATGTCAGCATCCTGACATTAAGGAGCATCCTGGGGCATTTTTTATAGTCAAATGCTGAAAATCATTTTAACAATACTTGACATGTACCATCACACAGAAAAAACACAGCTAACAACAACACATCACACAGTTAGATTTGTCACATGACAGGATTCAAATTATTGAAAACTATTCTGTCATTATTGAAAGAATTGAAATTCAAGGCAGTAAATCACATGTTCATACTGCACACATACTGTAGACAAACCATAAATGTAATTAATGCATGCGTGTGCACATTCACATCTGCAGATTAACACAGAGGCCTACACAGCATATGCATAATTCACACACACACACACACACACACACACACACACATTAATGCACTTGTGTGCACAGACAAACAGAAGGAGGAAGAAAGACAGGTTTGTAAAAGTGGTAATGTCTTAATTAGCTAAAACTAGCCTTTCTATTACACACACTATGATAGGGAAAATTAGCACAGATGAGAGAGGAAGTGAAGAAAGGAACAGAAAAATGATAATTTTAAACTGTTTGTAACACCCAGAAATCCCCCTCTGTTTCGTTCACACATACAATTACACACACAATTAAAAATGTTTTGCAAAGATACAGTGTTGCAAAGGACGTTAACAGTTTAATAGTAGGTGCCACGATAGGATACTTTGCATGCTATGCTTTCCATAAATTGCAAGGGGAAGGTTCAAAAACCTGTTTGTAGCTATTTCCATTAAGCTCAGGAGCTGGTCGAGATTGTAGTATTTGTATATTTGCAGCCAGCTAATAAAGTGTGTATGTCAGAATTTTCTGACGAACCCCAAGCATAGCTAGTCATACCCCTGAGGGTACATAGACCCCAATTTGGGAATAATGGTTCTAGAGAATTTGCCGAAAGTGGCTTAGTTTACCTGTTTTCACCATGTTTCTGTCCACACCTTAGACTTTCCAAAATACATCTGGAAAAGGAAAATGGAATTTAAAAATATGTCTGCAAAAAAAAATACAGGGGATGTACAAAACAACAGAAACACTAAAAAATCACCTACCATATAAGTGCACTTTGTCAGTTTACAGTAACTGAGATTTACCATCAGTGATGAAACTGTTTATACTGTTAATTCTGTTACTCTACTTCTAAATCTTAATGTATGTATAACTCCATTTTCAGTTCATGTTCCAGTAACATTTTGCGATACACTTTCTGCATCTTTGTTAGATGCCAAAGTCAGCAGCAGAAGCCATAAGTCACCCCTTCTTGCCCAGGGACCTGTCCATCCCAAACTACGTAAAAAATGACCGGTCCATGTTGGAGATTGTCACATTCCTGTTCTCTGTGTCCGGGCTGCTGCTGGTAGCCTAGGCCCTGACGGGGCAGAAGGTGGCTGGAGGAAGGCTGAGTGGATGGAGAAAGTTGGCCCGGTGCTGGTTCACTACGTGTGGCTTCATCCATGGTGTCATTGAGGGCTGCTTCGCGCTCTACTACACCATCATTCCAGCAACCCAGAGCTTCCTCTCCCAACTCTGTGAGTAAAGATTGAAACCTTAAATCTTTCTAAAGTTTGAAGTCAGCACAAGGCAGACTGAGCTTGTCAAGAGCTGAAGTCTAGCACAGTTTTTCACAATAAAAAATATATGGCTACAGCAACAGTAAAGCATGGCGGTGCAAGTGTTGTGGGGTGGGGGAACTTTGTAGAATACCATGCTGAGATCTACCATCAGTGAAGGAGCCATTTACTCTGCTCTATATATGATATTTGCAAATAAAGAAATTAGACCATCTGCATGTGAGCTAAAATAAAAGCTGAAGTAGAGATGAAGGTGGATCATGATGTAAGACTAATAAAAAAAATACTTTTTGTAATGCCTCAAAGTTCAGCCCTAAACCTGTAGCAGGACCTAAAATAATAATTGATAATGAAATAATTCATACCCCTCCACCCAACCAAATAAATGCTTCTGAGTTAAAGTAGCTCAGCATGGAGGACTGGTAGACATTTAATAGCTACAGTAATGGCAAGACTGCAGTTTCTGAGTCTAAAGTTCACAGGGCAGCACGAGGTGTTGCAAAATACTGAAAAGACGTATTTAAAACAACAATCCTAATGAACCAAAACAGTCATTCCCATACCGGGAGTCGAACCCGGGCCGCCTGGGTGAAAACCAGGAATCCTAACCGCTAGACCATATGGGAGTTATACGCTGCCAAGATAGGCGTCCTTTTCAAAGGTCCACGACGAGGCCGCCTTCGCCACTCACAATCAGAGTCATAATGACTCAAAACCTATTTAAATACAACAGTTACTATTTCAGTTATTCAGTATAGATGGCTGCGTTCTGGCGCACAACCGGGGCCAGATGGGTCAGCTATCAGCTAATATGCTTTTAAGGATGCTATATTATTTATAGTTAAGCTAAGTAAAAGAGTAATATCTTTCAAAATATATATTGTTGATTCGACTTATTAGGCCAATGTGGCAAAATGAGGTCATATTTATACTTAACTAAATAACAGACTTAGAAGAAATGAAAGTTAACGACAGGACAGCTCTGCCATGCACAGCTCTTAGACTCTGCTTTTTGACTGCTATCCAGCGCCCCGATAGCTTGCCGTGATCGTATAGTGGTTAGTACTCTGCGTTGTGGCCGCAGCAACCCCGGTTCGAATCCGGGTCACGGCAGACAGTCAAACATCAAAGCAGAAGGGTGCAAATCTTTTCTTTCTCACACTGGCCAGTGCATATACATTGGCTTTTACCTGTAATAGATAAAATATAATGAATACATGTATTTTTATTGAGTAAATCCCGCGCACAGACTGTCTCTGGTAGATCCTGGGTGTTAACTGTACTCTGTAAGTTCATTTCTAACCTATCACGGTCCTCAGTTACGCCTGACGTCACGCATGTTCCGACGCGACCGTCCACTGGAAAGCTGATCTCGACTCAGGTGGGGCTTTTCTATTTGCTCTTCCACCAAAGAGGGTGGAGAAGGACTCGCTGGAGGCTCAGTGGTGTGACTGTCTATTGGGTAGCGCTGTCGCACGGCACTGCAGCTCCGTGGCGCCATGTGTGGATTGCATGTTCTATGTTATTTATGACTGGGGTGGTTTTTACAGTTCGTCAGAAACGTCCTGAACCTACTGAACGGTTCCTAAGTCTCCCATAGTTCTACCTGTTGCATTTTAGAGGCAACCTCGAACCAGGACTGCATCTTAATATTCTTATTAATCCTTAAAGGTAAGCACAAAGTCTGTTTCTATTCGTGGTGAGATTAAGGGAAGTATTAATCAACTCATTTAAGAATTGCAAATGTTTTAAAAGTGCATGCATTACTACTAACTCTTATGTTCTGTCCTGTGTTAAATACCAGCTTACTTTATTTCTTACTCGGTGTATCCCTTATTTCTATTACTGTGCCTCTAAATCTCTATATATATCCTTATAACTCCATTTTCAGTTCATGTTCCAGTAACATTTTGCGATACACTTTCTGCGTCTTTGTTAGATGCCAAAGGCAGCAGCAGAAGCCATAAGTCACCCCTTCTGGCCCAGGGACCTGTCCATCCCAAACTACGTAGAAAATGACCGTTCCATGTTGGAGATTGTCACATTCCTGTTCTCTGTGTCCGGGCTGCTGCTGCTGGTAGCCTGGGCCCTGACGGGGCAGAAGGTGGCTGGAGGAAGGCTGAGCGGATGGAGAAGGTTGGCCCTGTGCTGGT